GGCCTCTCGCCGCCTGCCGGCTCACTCCTTCCCACGCCGCTCCACTCCGTGCGGTTGAGGAAGGCAGCCGAGCCTTTTGACTCCAGCAGAGAGAGGCTCATCATCTCTGCACCCTCGCTATAACTGAGCTTCCCACCTCTGGGTGAGGAATTACGGATGTGCGTTTCTCGTAAGATGAAGGAAATATATTAAAAAAATCCCCAAATTAGTGGATTTTTTTTTTTTTCCTCTGTTCTAACTTTAGGACAAAAGCAGAAAGCAGTGCAAGAAATACTGGCTGACCTGCTTGGCTGTTTGATTACTGTTGAACAGGAAGGCGCTGATATTTCTTTTGGAGTCCTGTTTTAGAGTCCTACCAATATTCATGTAGGTAGAATTTGGTTTTTTCTATCCCCGATTAAACTGTTTTCCCATGAACATAATTGCTTTTTAATTGGGCTGCAGCTGGTGCTGGATTTATGCTGAGTTGGGGACTGAATTAGTCTCTGGAAAAGCATTTTTTTGTGATTTTTTTTTTTTTTTTTTTCCCTTTCCTCCCCCCCCCCATCCTTCAAACTGTAGCCTAGCTGCCTGTCTACTGACAGCTGGAGGCTGGCTCCTGACCGAAAACCCACAGGTATTTTGGGCAGGAGAGCTGCGTGCCCTGGTCGGTCGCAGCAGTCTTGGCAGGAAGATGCTGCTGTGCCGTGCTGCCGGTGGCCTCCAGCGGCCTCCGTGCTGTTTCCCTTACTTCCAAATGCAGATCCAAACAGATTTTGCTGGCCTGTGCTTAGCGACCCCCAGGGGAGGTGTGGTGTGACTGAAGCGGGGCGTTTCACCACAATTCAGCTCTTCCTCCGTAAAACCAGTCCCTCGCATCCCGCTTCCGTGGAGCTGGCGCGCTCCTCGCCCGTGCAGCGAGCTGGGGTTCAGCTTCGGTCCTTAACCCCAGAGACCCGAATCCACTTGGGGGGGGGTGTGTGTGTGTGATATAAATTTGCAATTTTTGGTTTTTGTAAACCTGTTGAGGGGGTTACACTATCCCCTCGGGTTTTGCCTAGCACAGTACAGGCGATATCCTCGGTCCAGTCCATCGCCATTCCGTGAGAAACGTCATTTTCTTTGCTAGTTTTAAAACGAAGAAGGAAGCCGCTCCTGGCCGGATGTGCGCAAGAAGTGTTCGCAAGAGACCGAGGTGGGAATGGCAAAGTCTGGTTTTTCAAATGAGACACCCTACAGCTGAAAACCTACTTGACTGATGTGTATTTCATTGAGCTACTTGGTGTATGCGCCTTGTTATTGTCTTTTCAGCTGTGCATATTTGAATAGGGACAGCGGTAATGATGAATCATTATTATACTATAAATAAAACATTATCCAGATTATGCTGGTCAACAGAGCATAAAACAAATAGTAAATTCTAATGTCCTTGAATTACAATTAAAAAAAAAAAAAGGCAGCACAGGATGCTGATTTGCACTGCACACCTTTGCCTGGTTGCTATGAGAGTTCTTCCAGTTGCATCACGATTATTTATTCAGGGGTTTGCTCTTTTAGCCCTGCCTAGTGAATTCTCCCTAAAAAGAAAAGGTAGCAAGCCCAGGGAGCTCACAGCAAACACCACTCGGCTTTTTGCTTTTTTTCTGTCTTGCTCACTGCCGTAGGACGGCGTAGCCTCTCCATGCAAGAGCTGGGGCATTGGCGGCATCGCTGGGCAGACGAGGTGCTTAGGGCCAGGGTTTAGTGGTGGGACGGCAGGGTTAGGGGAACGGTTGGGCTTGATGATCTTAAAGGGCTTTTCCAACCTCAACGATTCTATGATTTTATTACCAGCGCTGCCAGGAGTGAGCAGCTGGGGCAGGATCCAACCACCGGCCAGGGTTACCAGGAGGTGAAGAGGCTGAGGATCCAAAGGATGAAATTCTTGAGGGGAAAAAGAAAACCCAAACCAAGTTACTTCCCTGTTAAAGTTGAAATGAATAAAAAAAAAACAAACAAAAAAACCCTCAAACGCACGTGGTTCCTGCAGCACTGTACGGTGGGCTGGCTAAAGACAAAAAGCTGATGCTTCTGTGTGTATCACGAATTAGCTTTTTCCTGGGATTTTTATATGTGTGTCCACGGGATGGGGACAACAACAGGAACTGTGTGTAGTAAGGAGTTTAAACACATACTTGCACTGATATAAACGCGTGCAGAATGATAGTAGTGCTGAGGTGCGGATTAAATTCAAGTATATGTATGGAAAACTTTCAGATTAACTTGCTGCAGTCATAAATCATTATTGCCTGCTTGGTATTTAATCTTCCAAATTTTTATTTTATTTTAAAATCCTTTGAATAAGAGTTATGAAAAGAACAACCACTGACACGTGAAACTTGCCTAAAATAGCCAGCTGTTATACAGGGAAATGTTTTTTTTAAATATGGCCGGCTCTGTGGGAAATTAAATCAAAATTAGTTCTGCTTTACAAGGGCAGCGTGAAATTTGACCTAATGAAGTCCATCGCCTCCCTTGGTGCTCTGGATTGTATTCTGCTTTACCTTGCTGGGTGTAAATAATTTCTTCTTAATCGGACTTTGACCGCAGTGAGATTGTAAGCGCTTCTTTGCAGTCACTTTCTCACAATTGATCTGAAAAAAGCGTAATGCTTTTAAGTTGATTTTTAAAGTATGGTGGTTGGCAAAGACGTGGGGGTGAATCCCCTGGTGCGACGGGTTGTGGTGCCAAGGCTGCCGCCTTGTGCCCGGGCTCGGTGGGAGGGCGGCGGTGCGAGCTTCTCCCATCGCCCAGCGTCGAGGCATCAGAACACGGCTCAGATGCTGCTGCGGAGGCTTCGCTTCGCCCTGGGAAAACGGTTGGGCTAGGTTAAAGCAAAGGCTGAGTCTCCAAAGGCAGCCTCTCCCGGGTGCGCAGGCCCTCCGTGCCGCTGCCTTCGCCTTTCAGCGAACTTTGCCTTGCGCTGAACGGTTCATCTTCGGAGCCCAGCGGGTTTGGTGAGGGTCGCTCCTCTGTCGTTAGAGGGTCTGGGGGCAGGAAAGCTCCTGGGGGGCACTTAGGGGCGAGAGCTCCTCCCGCTTCCATGAGGAACTCCGAGCAAGGGCTGAATCGGCAGCGGGCTGCCACATCTCCCGGCACGTTCCAGCCAGGGAGGAGCTGACGTATGTTCTCTAATTTAGGCTAAGCCCTTTACTTTTACTGTACCTCGCACAATTATTAAACAGTTCACGATTGCCTTCGTCAAACCACGCACTTCACATCTCAAATATCATGAAATGCTGTTGACCCCAGCCTGCCGAGCAGCGCAGTTCACTGCAGCGCACACTTAGATATCTCCTAGGAAAAAAAGAAATAAATTCCAGCTGAGGAAAAATGTTCAGTGATCTGTTGCTGTGCCTCAGTTTTGTATATATAAAGACAAAAAAAAAACCATAATAAAAAATCAAATATGCCATAAGCAAGTGCCAGATTTAGCAAACTCTCTTTATTTACATACAAATACATGTACACATATATTCTGTATATGTACACATCTTTAAGTGTATATACATACATGATTTCCACATACTCTACAATAAATAGCATGTAGGGTTTTCTTTTAATTGCCTACAGTGCTGAGTAAAAATAACATGGCAATAAAATCATGGCTTACAGCTAAGTTACAAAAGCACCAACCACCAAACTCCTAGCAATAAATCCAAGCTTATGTACAGCCAGAACGAGGACACGCTATACAGAATACAAAGTAGACCATCTTGTAGGAATCAACAGTAATAGACAAACTAAAAAAACATCATTTAGACCAGGAGAGACTCTGTATGAAATAAGCCAAAGGAAAACATTTAGATTATTGATCAAACTAAACCACACATTTAAATTTGTCAGCTAAAGAGAAAAACAAATTAGCCAGTTACTTGTAGTATATTTTTAACAGAGTAATTTTTTTGGATGAGACTTCACCAAGGAAATCAGGATTAATCTCACGAGCGAGTCTTTCTGAGCTGCCACAGCCATTTGGCTGGGCGCGCACCACTGGAACAGAGCACGGTCATGGTACCTTGCTTAGGCTGTGGGTAACTTCTTGGACCCTGCGTGTAAGTTGGGTTGTAGGCAATAAAAAGCGCTCCCTCAGCCAGCTGCTTCCACGGGACCTGTGACGTGGAGCCCTCGGGAAGGACTACGGCAGCAAACGGGCAGCAGCAAAATCGACACCCAGCGAGCACGCGGGGGGTTGATGCCTGAAGCTGCATCGCCAGAGCCCGCGGGGAAACCACAGCCGGACCCTCCGCTCCTGCAGCTACCCACGGCGTAGGAGGGATGCTATTCCGCACCTGGGGAAAGCCTGGCTGGCTGAATAGTTTGAATATTGGTAGCAATTGCTTGAAATCTGCTTTATGAGGGGAAGATGCACAGATTTTTGTTCTCGTCTTTATTTGTCATTGCTTATGCTTTGAATTAAGGTATGCAATGCAATGCTAAGGACGACAAGTGGGTGCCGTCAAGCAGAAAGCTCGTGGCGTTCAGGTATCGTCTTTGTGCTGCCATGTGTTTTCCTTGCTGCAGTACAGTGCTAAGAGGGTTAGATAGCAAGATAACCACTTCTGTTCAGCGGAAGCCAGCCCCTCTTACCAGACTTAAACAGAGATTATCTTTTTCCAAGGTACGTATATTTTCTATCACTGTAAAACTAGTATGGGCATATAGGTAAACATTTGAGAAGAATCAAAACCAGTGGTGACCATGGAAGGAAGAAATGTACACCAAACCTGCACACCTGGTGGGTCTAATAAACTAAAGCTCATCAATGTCTAATTACATCATTGCATATCCATGGGTAAGACGTCTGAAGGAAGAACTACTCACTCTTCACTTCAATGAATACATACGACGACTACAACTCATAGAAATACGGACTCCTTTCCTTTTTTTTTTTGTCTTGTCCTATAAATAGCATTTTCTCTTAGTGTTTGGTCTTGATTCCTTGAGCCCTGTGTGTGTAACGTTCTTTATGAAATTAGTGGGAGAGCTTTTTATTTGGATTTTATATATTTTTGTATATTTTGCTGGGAGTCTGCTTCATCGTTTGTTCTTTATATCGTCATCTTCTAAAGTTCCCAATGAGAAATAGGGTCCTGCTAAGTGCTGCCCAATTCAAGTAAAAGACAACCTCTCTGCCACAGAATCTAGTTTAAAAAAACCTGGTTTTCAAAATTTATGTTCACGACAGACGTAATTTTGTTTGATTTTTGCCACGTGTCTGCCTGGTAGTTCCCTTATTAACGATGAGAGCGCTAAAATGCAGAGGTCTCAAATGAAAATGATTGTTACATAAATAGTTTGATTATTTACGATACAGCACAAACACAGCTACAGTTTTTTAAAGACTTTTTAACCTGATAGGAAAACATATTCTTCTCCAAAAGGTTAATGGAAATGCTTATTTTTATGACTGATGCTGTATCTCTACAGTTACCCACGATTGTATCAGCCAGAGGACAAGTAGGGAGTCTCGCTATGGTAGTTGTAATCAGGACAGACCTTTTGCACCAGTTTGTAATCTACACTGTAAAAAGCAATGTAAATGCAGATAACTTTAAATGGCTTGGAACACAACCAGGAGACATGGCTTTGAGTCTGCTCTTGGTAGCAGATCTTTGAAGGGTCGAAATTGCACAAGGCAGTTTTTTTAGCGCGGTCTGTTTTTTCGTACTCAATTCGGCAATTGAAGGACTTGGATTCCTTGGTCTCCAGTGTTGACTGCGGAGATGATTCAAACTCAACCACCTTGGAAGGTGGCACCAGGCTCACAGAAACATTTCCCAGACCTGTGGAGTTGTGTCGGAAATAAACACTGAAGGTCCCATTGCCATGATCGACGATTTTCCCTGTGATCAGGAGGTTCAGCTTAACAGTTTTGATGTTAGAGTGGAAGTCGCCCCATCCAAACATTTTCTTGAATTTCCCAGTTTTTACTATCGGTCTGCGTTTAGTTCGTGCGAGAGATTCCTGAACCTCCGTGATGTTGGACAACCAATCCCAAAAGTTTTCTATGCTGTCCGAGTAGGACACCTGGCCGTGTTTCAGTACTGGCGATGGCTTAACAAACAGGCGTAAAGGATTGATGATCCTGGAATGGACCACGTTGTCGACCAGTGTCTCTGCAGCATCCTTGTCTTCCCAGTCCAGCACCTCCGTGGCTCGTACGACTGTATTAACGTCACAAAATACCTGTTTCAAAATAGAGAGAAAGAATTGTACAAAGTGTGAAAATAAAACTGTCAATATCCAAAAGAAGCTGTTACTATTTATTTTTACACGAATAGTCCGAACCAGCCCAGTCACATGGGCTACTGTAATGAGTAATTTCTGCTACCCCATGTAAAGCTCAAGGATCTTCCTCAAAACCGCTTTCAGAAGATGCAAAAAGCTCAATGGGAGCCATCCACTGGGATGAACGGATAAATCTCTGGACAGGTTGAAGACTGGGGACAGACACCCTTTGCCTGCAGATTTGTTGGCTAAAAACATGGTGAAGGATGCTGGAAAACCCGAAGAGCGAAGTGGCATATCTGCTAAAAGATGGAGTGAAATAGAAAAGCAGAATTTTCTGTTTCCCTTTCTTTCTTCTCCCCACTTAACCTCCCAACTCCTTTAAGCGTAAAGTCCTCTCTTTACTCAGCTGCTTCTGGTGGGGTAATTGCATACTAAAATGTTTATTATACATTTGTCTTTCCTAGTGTTGCCTCTTCCGTTTTTCCAGACTTAGCGTGCCCATTTTTGTGCTCTTAATTTCAGACAGACCGCAAAAATAACCCTATTTCTGGTGTGTTGGTTTCAGGTTTGAGGATGCCTGTATCTAGCAAGGCCTTAACCTTCACGAAGTGCTGAGCAATCCCAGCCATAAAGCACATCTCATCGTTTTTCAGAAGCGTGGCTAGGCCAAGCCAAGTCTAATGCACAATTGTCTGCAACTAGAAAGCAAATAACTACTTCTGGCAGTGACGGAACGGTGTTAGATTTCAGAGTCAAACACGCGGGGTCTCTGTAAATAGCAGATTTCCAATTTAATGTAGAGGTACATTGCCCATGTATGTTCTTTCTGGACTTGCAGAACTTGAGCGTACGCTCAAGAGGTCAAAAGTAGGGTCTGTGTTTCAACAGGCTGGAAACAATCGTCTAACTTTTTAGGTCTTTTAAAGCTTGAATGCAAGTTTTAGAGGATGTGTTTTCAGGGTTCGTTCTCTTCAGGACCGTCTTATACCATCACCCTAACACACAAAGCAAAACTTTTTCAGCTACAATTATTCTTACAAAATGTGTGAACAGAAAGACAAGGCCCTTAAAAAGGAAGGAAGGAAGAGGAAGGTTGTACTGTCCTCATCCCCAAACTGCTGCTGCTGCCTCCTCCTGGCAAAACGCTGCTCTCGCCTCATCACCCATCTTCCAGTGCCAGGACCGGGATGGTGGGCTCCCAGTATTACTACCCCACGGGATGGGGTTTTCACTGTCCAGCAGGCAACCACAGCAAGACTGGGGGGGG